TCATGGGGTCTCTATATAAAAGAAGGGAGGACATTTAGATCTGAAAATCACATGAAACCAAGAAAGCCCTTATTTACAATCATTCTCAGTGATCCACTGGAAACTGGTTAATCGCTAACATTTCTGGCCTGAATAGAGTTACTGGTCCTAGTCTTCAGAATTTTTCTCTCTTTCTAGGGAGCAGTGAGCAATTAAACTAGAAGTTAGAAGCTAATTGGTATAAAGAAGTTTAAATCAGCTCTAGGGGACCAGGCATGGAAAATTGGCAGGAAGAGATGGAATTATTTTTCACAAAAAGAATATACATAAAACCAAAGTTATCTACCTGATGCTTCTGGGCATTTCTGGAAATGTGAAACTGTGAAATGGACAGATGCAGCAACTACTGGCTAAGGGTATGATATCCAAAGTCCAAGTGCCCTAAGTCATACCATCAGTTAAGTCAATAAAAATCCAGGAAGAACAGAGCTAAGAGTAGAGAGAACAAAAAGAGAATAGTTGGGGGAAGGGAAATACCAAAATTGTTCAAGACCAATGGGAATGACAAGGACTGAAGAAAATCCTGCTAACCTCCATTTTTTAAGTTTATCCTCAGCAAGAGTTCACAAAAATAATAAAGGAGGGTATCATAAACATTATAATGAACTTATCCTAAGTATCTAGCTACAGCCTGGAAGATGGAAGATCTGGGTGGACGAGGCCCCAGTCCCAATCCGAGAAGGCTTTTAGATCTACACCCCGGGTCCCGCACACCTGGGTTCCTCTGCCGGTTCCTTCATGCGTGAGGCTCATCCGAATGTGTGGAGAGTAGTCTTAAGCATGGCTGGCTGGAACCAGAGGTCTTCAGCTGTTGGAGCTCTGCTCAGGGTCAGGAGGGAAACTCAACCTACCCTCCTCTAAGGGGCCCTGGTGAGGACAGCCAGGCAAGGAGGCAGGAGACTCTGCATATATGCTTTTTATACAAATAGATGTTTATTTTTAAATAAATTTTTAAAAAAAGTTCTATGAACCTATATGAAGGAGTGACCCAAAGTTTAAGAAATAAGAATTTAATTCATACCATTGTTATGGGGGAAGTAGAGAGGGAGGGACCAGATAATTGAAACCACAGATTGGTTCCTCATTTATACATGTGATCCAACTGGCAATCCCATGTCTTCATTTGCATAGGCCTCTGTGATCTGATTGGTCAGTTTCACAAACCCTCATTTATGGACAATGTTGGTTTGTCCTTGCTCCTCCTGCAGGGAGCTTAGGTTTATTGAGTTACTCCCATGGCAGTGCTTCTGAGGCGCACCCAATTCCATCAGGCACTAATAATCCTATATTGCTTTTCTCTTTCCTTTATGTCATTTGCATGGTTTAACAATGGCCTTTTTGTATAGACACAGTAAGGGAGTAAGACAATTGATGCTATTCTATTGTAACATGGGAGTTAATTGATTCTGAATAATATCTATTCCTCAGCATCCATCATATTTACTTAACTCTCAGTTGCCCTTACTTCCTAACACACTCAAAAGGAGGGTCCCAGAGAGGGACAAGGATGGCCCCAGGGCAAGCCTGAGCTACCCTGGCATTGAAAAGGGAAAAGCTAAGTGTCATAATAAGTATACTAAGTTAAGAGCTCAGTCATGGAACAAACTCTGTCATGATCCAAAAATAAGTAACTGAATAAGAACCTGACTTGAGGACTGTATCACTGTCATCCCATTGTTCTTTGATTTACTTGATTTACTTGAGTCTCCATTTGTCCCAGCCCTGAGACTTTAGCAGACTCTCCTTACTAGTCTTTCTCAACATCCTGGAGGGTCTTTCAGGGTCAGGGGAATGAGAACCATTATTATTACTGTTTTCAGCATATCGAATACACCACGGCTAGCTTTCCAGGCTCTGCCTTGCGGGCAGGATACTCTCGGTAGCTTGCCAGGCTCTCACTCTCAGATATATATATATATATATATATGATATATATATATATCTGAGAGTGTATATATATATACATATATATATATGACTGTAGTCTGGGATATATAGCGAGATATCACCAAGAAGACCCAACCTTTAATCTTAAACTTACTGTGTTTATACAAAATGACTAGAAATATTTGCTCGAGGTAAAGGCCCTCCCGTTGATCGTCGATTTGCTCGAGCGGGCCCAGTAACGTCTCCATTGGAGACTTTGTTGTTACTGTGTCTGGCATATCGAATACTCTCGGTAGCTTGCCGGGCTCTCCGAGAGGGGCGGAGGAATCGAACTCGGGTCGGCCATGTTGGCCGCTTGTAAGGCAAACGCCCTACCCGCTGTGCTATTGCTCCAGTCCAGAAATATTAGTAAGAAGTAAATTTATTATGATTGTTTAAATGAATTACTAGCTGAGGAAAGGAGAAAGCAATATAGCCTAGATGGAATCCCACCCTTGAGCGGATTTTCTAGTAATCTAGAGTGCTGAACCCTCAAATGAGATTTTGTTCCTGAGTTAATCTCCTAGAACTTCCCCTGAAGGAGTGGCTTTACATTTGTTATTATGATAATGTTCAACCCCATTTATGTGTACCCCCACCCTTCACTATTTCTATATAACTATGTCATAAAAGGGGAGGAGGGAAAAAGAAAGTAATTGGGAAGAGATATAACTATGTAGAAAAATAACAACACTATAATAGTGGAAGAGGAGAACTAACTACGCTGTTGTAGGGGAGAGAGAGATCAAACTATGTCGGGGTGGAAATAACTGTGCTGTAAAAGAGAAGCAGGAGGATGAAGCTGTAAGGATGACGAGGAGAATGAAATAAAAAGTCTCTGATTACCAACCAGACTGGGGCCCTGTTCCTCATTCCCTCCTTCCCCCTTGGGCCAGGGGGAATGGTTCTCAGTAACCAAATGCTCTTGTCCTGCATGCCCATACTCTTTGAAACTCACAGTCAGTTTCACAAATCCTCATTTACATGAGGAAGAATACATTAGATAGCAGAAATAGCTAAAAGGTAGGAATACAGAATATAAAGTCAGGTTGTCATTGAACAGGTAACTAGGGTTGCTGTCCTGTAATTTGCTCAGCCCTGCTTCTTGCTGCAGAATCCATGGAAGAGTCGGTCTGCATAGACTACCTATACCTGCTGTAAATAGAGCTGTAACACTGAAGGCATCTGGTGGTTGGCATGCTGCTCTTGCTACCTCTACACAAAAGCCTAAAGTTTAGTCAGATCTGCTACAACATTGGTATCATTTCTTTCTCTCACATCTCATATCTAGTCCATCCAATTCTGTTGGCTTTATTAGCCAATAGAGATAAAGAGCTGGAATCTTTCCACTATCAGTAAATTTACTAGTATCTTGATTCCACATCTATCAGTTCTGGCCTGAAACACTTCAATCGCTTCCTAAGGGGTATATTTCAAGATAGCAGAACACAATTCTTCTAAAGTTTTAAGCCATATCTTTGTTCAGAGACCAGTAATGGTCACCCACTTCACTCAGAATTAAAAAGGCAAAGTTCTTTATAGCTTCTAAGTCCATGTAGGGTCTTCCTTCCCCCACCATCACTGAAACCTTATATCCCACTACTCTGCCCAATCTGCTCTGATCTAGTCACACCAGTCAGCCGTGTTCTTCCACAAACACAGTGATCCACCCAGAGTGTTGGTTTTAATTCCTTCCTGTCTGGAGCACATTCCGTATTATCAGTGTACATGGAAAAAATCTCCCTGCAACTCTGGTACTTCTCCAGCTGATTTAGGTCAGAAAGAGAAAGAAATTTAATTCTGTGTGCAGTTGAGTGGGTGCTGTAAAGATCACAAAGGTCCAGTTTGTTAAGGTGAAGGGGAAATTGATCCTGAGCTCTTCATCCCAGGGGACCTAGTGGTTGGGGCTATCTTCATATGACAAGGGATGAAGGTATTGGACACAAATCTATTTCTGTGTTTATGCCCTACCTCTGAGAAAAAGCTTGTTTTCGGAACTATCCCTAATTCTAGGCACACTACTTTCTCTTAAGAATAAAAGTTTCTCTAAGGGCACACGGTTCTTCCATTAACTTTAGTACTCATATCAAGGTGATACAAAGGCCTGTGCAGGAAATCCTGGAAAGTCTGTCTAATCCCTTTTGGGGGAGATTTGTTATTTATAGCTAATACTTTTCCTTTAGGTTGGCTTAACTCACCTCATTAAATCCCACCTTGACCATTAATTCCAGCAGCTTGGCCTTTCACCTCCTTCCTGATTCCTCTCAAACTCTAATTTTCTTTTCCATGGCATTTATCACCTTTTAAACAAACTACTTAAGAGTTTTCGCCTGTCTATTGCCTCTCCTTTCTCGCACATAAACGCCTTAAGGAGAATGATATTTTGCTCAAGGAATGTCCCAACTGTCCAAAACAGTGCCTGGTATATGGAAAGCATTCAATTAAGTGCTTGAGGAATCTGAAAGCTTGATTATCTTTACACAACGAAAGAACGCTAGATTTCTTTATTCAAGACCAGGGCCGTTTGGTGAAGAGGCTTAATGAACTTTTCAACGTTTCCAGTTTACAGGTGACCTAACGTCCAGGGAGCTTGGAAGTCAAGCAGGGTCCCTCCAGATCCGAGCCGAGTTCCAGCAAAGAGGAGAAATCAGCAAACACTAAAACCAAAACCCAAGCCGTGGGGGAGGTTGACATGCTGAGGGAAACACGCCTCTCCCTGAGGGAGCGGGGTGGGCAGACTGCCTTTTTCCCACGGCAGGACCAGTGTTTTCAGAACCGACAGCAGAAATGACCTGACACCCGTCCTCTCCAGAAACAAAAGCCGGGTCGGTCTCCGTCCCGGCGTTCTCGCGACGCAGCCCTTGCCCTTCCCCCGGAGGCTTCAGTGCCCTCACTTAGGTGGTTAGGCTGCGCCTAAACGTTTATCGAGGCCGCTTCGCCTCGTCACGGAGACCAGGCGCCTACAGCGGGGAGGGTCGGGTTGGGGGTGAGGATCTATCTCCCGCGCCCGGCAGCCCCGCGCGCGGCGATCGGGGCGGCCACGTCGAGGCGGGCTCAGGCGGGGAGCGAACACTCTGGCGGCGGGGGCGGCCCCGCGGCGCGTCAGCCCCGGCCCGGAGGCCGCCAGCCCCGCCGCACGCACGCGCGCTGCGCCCAGCATGAGGGTCGCGGCGCTGATCAGGTAACGCGCCGCCCGCGCCGCCGGCCTCCCTCCGCGCCCGCCTCTCGGCTCTTCCCGCCCGCGAGCCCGAACTCCTGTGGCCGCCGCCCGGCGCCAGGAGCGAGAGGGGGCGGGTGTCAGCGGCGGGAGCCGCGCTCCCTCCGGGGCCTCGGCGGCCTCTCGCGGCTGCCGGAAGAGGCGGGGCTTACGGGGAGCGGGGCCCGGCCGGCCCGTTTCTCCCTGCAGCCCGGCTGCGCGCCTCCGCCTCATTCTGCTCCTTCACTTCTTTAGAGTGAACTGCGACTTGGAGTCGGAGTCGCCCCACCCGTTAGTCCCCTCTTGTCTCCGCCAGGAGTTCCCGCTGGTCTTTCAGCCCCTCGTCCCTCGGCTGCTTGGGGACTTAGCCCGCGTCCCACGGCGGGGTGCGGGATGGCTGCTACCTGGCTGGGCGTTGGGGCTGCGGTGCCAAGAGAGGCCCGGCTAGGTGGGAGATGGCATTCGTGCCGCTTTGACCCTCTAGTTTTCTGCAGCTTCGGGTGCTCTTTGGCCCCAGAGTAGCTCGAAATCGGTCGTAACCCCTTATATGTGTGCGTTGTTGAAAATGAGGCCTGCGACAACAGAACAGCTACACACGCAGAGACCAGTAGACACACAGGAACAGAGTTGGGGGAAAACATGCCATTTGGACTAGGACCGTTTGACGGGATTTGGGTCTCTGCAGTGAAATGCACATTTCAGTCAAGTGCCTTGTAAACCCTTTCATAAGCATTTTCGTTCAGTGTTCAGCAATTGATACTGGGCTGACAGTAATGGCCGATGAAGGACTCATAACATTATAATCGCCTCTTTGGTGATTACAATAGTTCAGTTTCTTTCATTACTTAAATGCTTTTGAGTGGGGGGGGAGGGGCACTGGACTGTAATATCAAAATACTTGTTATGTAGTGAATTTCTTCTCCAAGAACATTATAATCTCATTTGATCTAGATAAGAATAAAAGGTAGTCAAGGAAATGAGCAATTGAGTTTAAGTCAAGCTTTCAGACTGGAAGCTTGACTGAGACACGACTTAAAGACTCAGAAATCATGGGGGAAGGGAGAAATGCTTGGTATACTTGCTTTCAGTATTCTGAAATGTACACGTATTACTTCTATAATAAATGTTTTAAAAGGCAATGTATTAATTTGCACGCAGTTGATCCCCGGAGCACTGCAAGGAGTGATTCCTGAGTGCAGAGCCAGAGTAACTCCTGGGCATGGCCAGGTGTGACCCAAAATAAACATGGCAGTGTTAGGAAATTATTATTAGGGTTTAGAGAGTACAGCAAGAAAGGCACTTGCCTTGTCTGAGCTGCTGCTGGTGTGGTCCCCCACCGCCTATCCCGGTGAAGAGTGGTCCCTGAGCACAGAGGCAGGAATAAGCCCTGAGCAGGTGGTCCCCTAAACCAAAAGACAACAAAACAAGAATGCTTGCTAAACTGTAAGTTCTGTATAAGGGCTAGGAGACATACTGTAAGCATGAATACATAGCCTGTATATCAATATGGATACATATGCATTTATCTGCATATGTAGATAAATTTAAGCTTAAATTTAAGCTTAAGGCGAATCTTCGCTGTGTACCATTTACGTATCATTATGTGACTAAAATGAATTATAAGATATATGTGTTTTAGGGAGTAAGTGAAACAGACTCTTTTGACCATAAATGATACTGTTTTCCTACACACAAAGGATTGAATTATTGAATTTTGCAATTAAATGAAACCTTGAGGATTAATTAGGTTATTCTATTAATCTTATAATGAGGATTGTAAACCTGCATATATTGAATAACTTAGTTTAGTTTTCTAGGGTTGGGAATGAAAATTCTTATTATCTGTGGAGTTTCTCACCAAGCGCATGCTAGTATACTTTAAGTCAGACTAAGACATGAGTAAGTTAATGGCATCTCTTGAATTTATTTGACTTTGAAATGCTGTTATTCGTAGACACAAAAGATTTTAGATACTAGTCTTCCATACAATTTGGGAAATGTTATTTTAAAACCACACCTGAAAACTCATTTCATTTTTTCATTTCATCATCCTGTTATTCGTCGATTGCCTCGAGCAGGCCCCAGTAACGTCGCTTTCATCCTAACCCTGAGATTATATTCAAGGCTCTTTAGGAGAATGAGACCCATCATTGTTACTGGTATTTGGCATATTTGGTACGCCACGGGGGGGAGTTTGCCAGACTCTGCCCTGTGGGCAGGCTACATTCGATAGCCTGCAAGTTTGTCCAAAGTAGGAATGAGATAATAAGATGTCATAAAAGATGTCCTGATAAGATGTCCCATGGTTCCGGGAGCTGGATTTTATAGTCTCTGAGTCTTGGCCATTGATGGGATTACACGGCGCCAGGGGGCCAGGTGGTGGGTGTGACCCCCGCCTACTGGAATTTGGAGGATCTGGGTGGAGGATGCTCGACTCCAATCCGAGTAGGCTGGGAGATCTCGGCCCCGGAACCCGCTTGGATTTGTCCCTCTGCCAGTACCTTCAGGTGTGCGGAGAGTGGTCTCAGCATGGTGGTGGCTGGTCCTGGAGGTCTTCGGCTGCTGGAGCCCTGGTCGGGGCGGGGAGGAAAGCTCAACCCGCTCCCCTCCAAGGGGCCCCAGCGAGGAACAGCCAGGCGCGGGGGCAGACTGCACTCTTCTCTTCCGGGAGCTGGATTTTATAGTCTCTGAGTCTTGGCCATTGATGGGATTACACGGCGCCAGGGGCCCAGGTGGTGGGTGTGACCCCCACCTACTGGAATTTGGAGGATCTGGGTGGAGGATGCTCGACTCCAATCCGAGTAGGCTGGGAGATCTCGGCCCCGGAACCCGCGTGGATTTGTCCCTCTGCCAGTACCTTCAGGTGTGCAGAGAGTGGTCTCAGCATGGTGGTGGCTGGTCCTGAAAACTCAGCATATTCTTAATTGTGGTGTTTGTCCTTTAATCTGTGACATTCTAAATATTCTAAATAATTAGATCCTTTTGTCTTACAGAAATAGAGCAGTGAGGTTTAATAGGGAAAGTTGTGTGAAACTTAGAATTGGAGGAAAGACATTGTGATGTATAACTTCAGTTTGCTCCTTGCAATCTCCCCTTGAGAAGTTCTAGAATGACAGTTATTGATCCATAAGTAGTAGAGGCAGACAAATGTTAGGAACTAAAATAAAGGGGGAAAAAGGGCAACTTCTAGGACAATCACTCTCTTTTAGTTTCTTGGTCTATGAATAGGTTTGTACATTGTCTGGGTGTACATTTGTAGATCTTAAGCCAAGATTGGAAAGGAGGAAAATAGGAGGGGTGTTGGGGAGAAGGTAGAGAGGCAATAATGGAAAAAAGAATGCAATAATGGAAAAAAGAAACATATATAGTAAGAAGCAATAGGATATTACACTGAGATATCATACATGTTGCCTTAGAGATGAACTAACACCTGTCTTGAGAAAATGATTCACTTAATCACTTAATCACTTAATCCCCGTTATTCATCGATTTACTCGAGCAGGTGCCAGTAACATCTCCATTCATCCCGGTTGCGTGCTAGCGTAGCCCAGTGGTATCTGTTCGTTCTAGGAACATGCAGAGCCTCAAACCGATCATTCAGGGTCTTGACGAAGAAGTCTGACCATCTTGTAGGTGGGCGTCCACATGATCTTTTGATGTCCCGTGGAATCCAATCAGTAATGGCTCTAGTCCAGCGGTTGTCTGTAAACCTCATTACGTGTCCAGCCTATCTGATTTTTGATGTCTTGGCAAATAAGACAGCGTCCCTGATTTCTTGAGCATTGACGAAGATCAGAACTCTGGATTCTATCTCTCATTTGAGTGAATCGTGATATTCCAAGCATAGCTCTTTCGATTCCTCTTTGAGAGACCCGAATAGCGTTCTCATCCTGTTTTCGTAGGGTCCAGGTCTCTGAGGCATATGTTAATGCAGGAAGAATAGTGGAATCAAAGAGATGTGCTCGTAGCTGGAGGTTCTTTGTCCTTTTAGTTATTTCTTCAATGCTCTTGAAGGCATTCCAAGCCGCTCTCTTCCTCCTGCGCAACTCAGGTGCCAGGTCATTCATCATGTTGATTTCTCGACCTAGGTATATATAACTGTTGCATTCGGAGATGGTGGTTCCGTTGAGAGCGAATGGAGAAAATGATTAGCCTAAAATAATCTACCTTATGTAGATTTGGCACCAGAATTTAGAATTTTGGCTATTTATTAGATTTGTGGCTCCAGCCTTACTCTGCCAGCGTATGTACAGTGATATCTGAGTGCTGAAGAACTGAAAGTACTGATACTTAATTTGTCTATATGATCCAGTAATTCCACCAGGTATATAAATCTTTGCTATTAGATTTGGATATCAGAGCTTACTTCTGGCTATGTGCTCAGGGACCATATGTAGTGCCAGGGATAAAACTAGGGTCAGTCTCATGCAAGGCAAGCAAGCATCTTAACCCTTGTACTATCTTTTTTAGCCCAGTATCTCAAATCTTTATTTTGATCCTTTAATTAGTGGTGATGGCTAAAACCAGTTGTTAAATTTTCTTTTTTTCCTTTTTTGGGTCACATCTGGTGATGCTCAGGGGTTACTCCTGGCTCTGTACTCAGTACTTAACTCCTGTGGTGCTCGGGGGACCATGCTGGGGATTGAACCCAGGTTGACTTCGTGCAAGGCAAACGCCCTACCTGTTGTACTATTGCTCGGGCAGCCTTGTTAGACTTTTCTTAATGGAATAGAATAGTTTTTTTCCCATGGAGTTCATGCCCACTTCAGTATGCTTAATCAGTGACTGAATAAATACCAGTGTTTCTACATTTAAAAACAAATAAATAAATGTGATACTTAAAAAAAAAAGATTTTTCCCCCTATGTTTTATAGAATTTCATCTGAATATCACAAATACATATACATATATATGTTTAGCTGAAATATAATTTCTTTTTATAAACTAGTTTATTAAGTAAAGTCAATATAAATCAGTTATCACATTTTATTTGGAATAATCTTTGTTATTAATGTACAATTTAATAAGCTCTTGTGTAAACAATCTTACTCATTTTTATTTGCTCAGTTTCTTATACTTTGAAAATTACTTGAGTTTTTAAAATTCTAATTGTAGTCCCTCAGATATTCTAAAATAATACAGTTTTATTTTGATAGCTAATCGTTCTATATTGATAATGATTAATAACCTAGTATTTATCTCTTTATCTCCTTATGTTTTAGTGGTGGGAAGGACAGCTGTTATAATATGATGCAGTGCATTGCTGCTGGGCATCAGATTGTTGCTTTAGCAAATCTAAGACCAACTGAAAACCACAGTAAGTACATACTTTTAGTAGGATGTTACTTAAATGATTGAAACTCCAACTTCACAGTGTGTTCTATTGTATGTGATATGCAAAAACAAAAGGGAACTAATACAAACTTACAATCTATTAGATGCTAAATTTTATTAATCTACAAAAATGTATAGACTTTACTTTAGTTACTTAAAATAAATTTATCCTTAGTTGTATAAAAGCTACAAGGGGTGGCCAGGGGGAAGCCCGGACTGCTCTTCCCCCTCACCACCAGCGTGTTGTGTTGTGGGGTGGAGTGGGGGTGGCCTCTGGGCCTGCTTGATTGATCAGATGCCTTTATTCCATTCTCCCCATGTACCTGCCTCAGTCTCTCTGAGACCCCCATTCTAGTCTCACACTCATTCCCATCTCCTCTTGTCTCTCCCATTCATCTCTACGCACTCCGTCTTGCAACCTGGGCTCTCTCCACACACCTTCTCCTGTATTCCTCTACATCCTTGACCCTCTTGCTAGTCTCTTCCCACTCCATCTGGCAGCCCTGCTCTTTCTCACTCTCTCCCCAGCTCTCTTGTCTTCCCAACTTTCCAGTACTCTGGGTGATCCAGCACCCAGTCTGGTAGCCAAATCAACATAAGAAAGCCCTTCTTGAGGGCCCACCAAGTTCAAAAGAAACCACCTAAGAGGTATTCCAAAGCCCTTCCTGACTGCCTCAGGCAAAATACCTCTTTTTATTTATTTATTTTTCTTTTGGGTCACACTAGGTGGTACATAGGGGTTACTCCTGGCTTTGCACTCAGGGGACCATATGGGATGCTGGGAATCAAACTCCCATCAGCTGCGTGCAAGGCAAACGCCCTATCCTCTGTACTATTGCTACTTAAGGTGTTTTTCTCCTTTCCTCAGCCCGATAACTCTATCAACATCTTAATACTAGTTATTTTTGTATGGACACAGTAAGAGCTACATTAAGGCTTGTGGGGCAGCTCTCCTGGGAACATCTTACCACAAACTCAGACTACAGAGCTCAGGCCAGATTAATCTTTCCTAATCCTAGCAGGGCCCGAATCTAGTTATTACTTTTTGGATCATGACAGCATTTGTCCATGACCAAGCTCTTAACTTATAGTTAAGCATTATGACACTTTAGCCAGGCCCATCTTGATGCCAGGGTAGCACATAGCTTACTGCTTGCCCTGGTTCCTTCCATTCATTCCCTCATCAGGACTCTGCTTTTGGGGGTGCTAGGAAGTAAGGGCAGCAGATGCTCAGGAGGAAAATAACACTGAGAGTCACATTACAAAAGCATAACATATACTGTCATCTTGTGCCCATACAAAAAGGACATTGCTCTGAATAAACTATGCAAAGGACTTAAGGAGTAGAAAAAGACAATATTTACAACTCAACAGAGCACAAAGAAAGAAGTTACAAATAGCATAGAGGAATGGGAGCACTGTGATGGGAGCAACCTAATAAACCTAAACTACCTGAGGCTATGCAGGAAGGACAAAACAGTATTATCTTATACCTAGTCTTTTGCCATTAGAACTTTTATCTTCTTGTGTGTTCATGCCTATGTCCAAATTCCCCTCTTATAAATCATTTTGGATTTAGAACAAAACTTAATGACATCTCTTAGCTAATTCTATATACAATGACCCTGTCTTCAAGTAAGTCAAATTCTGAAATACTAAACTAGCACTTTAACATAAGAATTTGAGAAGGATTCAGTTAACCTACAATATACTTTTAAAAATATTGAAGTATGAAGCTGGGGATTACAGCTCAGAAGCACATGTTTTGCATGTGTTAGGTCTTTGTTCAGTCCTGGGCACCGTGTGGCCTCTGGGCCCTGCCCAGTGTAGCCCTTGAGGACTGCAGGCAGTGGCACAGAGGAAGGAAAGAAAAATATTCAGTAAGTTGCTTTCTTATACTCATATAATTTTAGAGATTAGCTGCTAAAATGATACGTGGCGAGATTAGCCGTTGCTTAACTCTATTACTACTTTTCCACATGACTTTTCTAGTAAAATATATATATTTTTTGATCATCTTCCTTATCACCCCCAACTTATTTCAAGTTCAGTGCTTTTGTTCTACTGTTATTTAGTGTGAATTAAATGAGTTGTTTATGTGAAGGTAGTAATCATAGTTCTTGGCATGAAGTAGATACCTAATAGTAGCACTGTAGCACTCTCCTCCCGTTGTTCATCCATTTGCCCGAGCGGGCCCAGTAACGTCTCCATTGTGAGACTTCTTGTTACTGCATTTGGTATATTGAATACTTCATGGGTAGCTTGCCAGGCTTTGCCGTGTGGGCGAGATACTCTTGGTGAGAGGGGTGGAGGAATCGAACCCGGCTTGGCTGGGCCAGCTGCATGCAAGGCAAACGCCCTACCGCTGTAATTTAGTTAAATCTGAATTTAGTCTAGATATTCCCTTTTCTGCCTCCTTTATCTCCTTTATTAACTTTTTACCTTCTTCCCTTTTCCCTTCCTCCCTTTTCCTTCCTTCCCTATTTTCCTTTCTTCCTACCATCCATCAGTCCTTCATCATTTCAATTTGTTTTCTATTTATTTTGCTTTCCTTTTTTATTCCAAAATAGGTTACGTGTGAACTTGTAGAGAGACCATATTTTCTTTTAATTGCTCTTAGTACTTGGGACAGATCTGTGCTTCTGGTAGGTATTTACTCAAAGTTTCTTGGTAGAAAGATGAATAATGAATTAACTAGAATTAATCATGAGAGTCACATTACAAAAGCAAGATGTTGATTTTACTTTCCTTTTATGATTAAGACTAAAGTAGTGTTGAAAGTGAAGTGAAAAGACAAGAATAGAAACTGAACCTTCTCTTACAGGGCCATGGATGAACATATACATTGGGATTTTTCACTGGACGTCTCATGTTTACAAATAATAACATTTTTAGGAATGACTTTTTTTTTAAAGTGAGCTATCTCTGACTTTTAAATAATAAATCGTTCAGTAAGGATGAGGGAGAAATATACTATAATTTCTATAATAGAAAGAAATAGAATCTTTTTGTATACATAGGTTCTGTTACAAAGGAAATAATTCCCTCATGCTTGTGGCCAGTCAGGTAAATGGGTTTATAAGTTGTCTATTTTGAGAGGCCTTGGTCTTTAGATAGCAAATATTTATGTAATATGTAACGTATATGTGATATAATTTCCCTGTTGATTTTTATATTGTTTTTAGCTTTCTATGTGAATTATTATAGTTACCATGTACTGAATTTTTCATGTATAGTCTTCCATTTGGTCATGGTTCACTGGAAGAATAGGTAAGATGACACAGACATAGTTTGTCCTTAAATTATACCTCACTGTGGAATGGAGACATTTATTTAGAATATTATTATTATGACAAATTTAAAGTAAATAAAATATACTCAGTGAAGTAAAAGCTGGAAAAAAAATCAGCTGGAAACCATAGACATAGTAGAAGAGACTAGATGATTACAGATTGGGTTATAGGCTATAGGGAGGGTTAGCTAATCTTGAATTAAAGTCAGCAGGAAGTTGGTAATTATTGAGTGATTTATTGATTAACTTCTTTTCCTTCCAGTATATTGTAAGAGCAAACCTAATGAGGTAGAGTTGACTCCAGTATAGAGAAAAGTTGGTTAGAGTGAATTCATGGGACTGTTTTCAATAGGTAGTCTGGAAAGGAATTTATCTCCATCAGTGCGGATAATATGGACTTGTCATAAAATTTACAAAATCCATCTCTTTAAATTTGTAGTAGGAACTTTTGTGGCATATTAATTGAGGTGCTTTGGGCAACAATGGAGACTTTGGTTCTATCTGATCTCATACCACTATTGCTATGTAACTTCCATTAATAAAAGTTACATTGTGGTTGGGACTAAATGGAGCCACAAAGGAAAACTGTCTTCTAGATTTTTGATGTCAGTAAAATGTTTTAATTATTATGCCAACATCAGGAAGTTTGTTGCTAAGAAGCTCAAAATTTTTAATTTATTAATTCAGTGGTATAAATGTCCTTTAAAAATAATACATTTAAAGATCCAGTCTAACTTTGAGATTAGCGTAGACTGAAAGGCTCTTAGGTAATGCTGTCTGTATTTCTGTTTCATTCTAGAAGGAGTAGACATACTGTTAAGAATAATATGAGTATGTGGAATCCAATCTAATATGTCCGTTCAGAAACTTGGTGAGCCAAAAGTAATGGCATATGATGATGATTTGATTATTTAAGGAGCCGTGATGATACTATCTTTCATGCCTTTTGTTAGACAACATTTACATTCACTTGAAAGCCTGGACCTACTTAGCATATAGTTATATATACACAACTACAGACATATTTGTTAAATTGCTTTGTAACCTTTTTTTCAAATACATAATAACACATTGTATACATCTTTTATGCTGTTAAGTAATTTTCTGCCATAGCATTTCCTTGAGAACTTCTTTGGAGCACTGATAACTCATGTGGATAGATAAATTTGAAAGATAGTTCATACTTTTATACTCCCCTTACTGGAGAACCTTATATTAAGTGGTTTATCTTCATTTTTTGCTTTTGTTATATCTGGTGATGCACAGGCAGTACTCCTATCTCAGTGCTCAGGAGTCACTGCCATCTATGGTTGAGGGGGTCTATGTATCCTCTCATTCATGCTTTCCACATTCAGAGCATGAATATTAGCCCTTTAAGCCATCTTCCTTGCCCCAATTTAGCCCTAATTTTTATAAACTCACTTGACCCTTTTTTATTCCTTTCTTTTAACTTCTCAAGATTTCTGTTCTGCAGGATATACTTTAGAAAATTCTCTTCAAAACTGTTCTAATAGTTATGTATCTTATATGAATATACAGCAATAATTTAAAATCTATTCTGTATGTGATGTGATGACTATCACCACAAATAATATGTAAATTTGTGATTTTTTTCCCGAAAAGTTAAAGTTACAGATAAAAATATTTATACCAATACATTTCTTTTTTTTTTTTATTTTTTTATAATTTATTTATTTATTGAATCACTGTGGGAAAAGTTACAGAGCTTTCGGGTTTAGGTCTCAGTCATGTAAATATCAAACACATTTCCCTTTACCAATACTTATTTTTAACCCCGAACCCCAATAGACCCCCACCTCCCACCCCTCCCGATTCTTGTGAGGCAGATGAGTTCTAGTTAATACTCTATCTACTTTTGACTAGATAGATTGTTTCGATAGAAGATGCACAATTATTGTTTAGAGTTTACGACCCACCCCCCACAATCAGATATGCTGAAACAGCGTTGTGAACTGATTTGCTTTCTACAACTTGGTTTAAGAATAAAATGATGTCGCGCGGCTGCAATAGCGGCCGCGCGGTTTTGAATTTCTGCTATTTTACTTATTGACCCTGGAAGAATTTCTATTAAAAGTTAGATAGTTAAGAGATTGGTTTCTGTGCCCTGGAGTCGTGGCCGTGCCGGAGAGCCGCTCGTGGGGGGCAGCTGGCGACCTCGGTGGGGCGTGGGGGACGGCCCACAAAGCCCCCCTTCCCATGAGGTCCCTGCCGCTCCCGCCGAGCCCGGCTCAAACCTGCTGTCCACAAGGCTCCCGTGCGGCCGCCATCTTTCTTTCCAGAGAGGAGCACCAATACATTTCTAAATTCACTTTTATTATCAAAAAACTTGGTGCAACTCAACCTGTTTTGAAAATTTTATCTGTATCTTGGATATATTTATATCACAAGATTGTGAAATCTTGAACAAAAAGTGATTGTATTATGTTAAAGCTTTAGTTAGTGTGTTTTGATACATGTTTATAATTTTTGTAGCAATATTAAATATGTTTATATGTTTTATATTTACATATGTTTTTATATTTATATATATTTATTTATATTTATATATATTTATATATGTTTTTAAGTTTTGTTAAAGTACTGAGTATAAACTCTGACTAAGGACTTAAATTTTTTCTTGAATTTTTTTTTCTTTTTTTAATGTTTCTGTCACAACTGTCTTTGCTCATGGATCACTCCTGGTGGGCTCAGGGCAACATCTAGGGTATAGGGGATCCATCACAGGTTGACTGCATGCAAGGCAAATGTCATATCCACCGTACTTTCTCTTCAGCCCTCTTCTTGAAAATCTTGTCACATTCACTATCACTGTCACTGTCCTCTTGTTGTTCATTGATTTGCTCAAGTGGGCCCAGTAATGTCTCCATTGTGACACTTGTTACTGTGTTTGGCATGTTGAATACGTCATGGATAGCTTGCCAAGCTTTGCCATGCGGGCGAGATACTCTCGGTAGCTTGCCGGGCTCTCCGAGAGGGGCACAGGAATCGAACCTGGGTCAGCCAGATCACCCGCGTGCAAGGCAAATGTCCTACCCGATATGCTATTGCTCCAACCCCTTGTCACATTTAAGATATTTAATTAAGAAAATTTTGTTCTACAGGTCTAGATTAATTCTTGAATAACCTTGAATATTTGAAAAGCATGTAATAAAATCTGTAAAGTTAGATATAATTCTTTTGGGGGGAAGATTGGTTACATCTGGCTCTGCTGAGTGCTTACTCCTGGCTCTGTGCTCAGGAAATCACTCCCGGTAGTGCTCAAAGTACCATATGCAGTGCCAGGGATCAAATCTGGGTCAGCCATATTCAAAGCAAGTTTGCCTTACTCACGATACTATCTCTAGCATTTCTACTTTTTAAAAATGTTCATTGTATATTGCTTCTAAAATTATATTTAAAAAATTCATTTAATTTTTAATTAGCAACAGAGAAGACTGTAGCTGATAGGAAGTAGATATTCAACTATGAATAACTTCACCTTACGACAGAAATGCAGATAGATTTAATATAGTCACTTTTAAGATGATACTGACTGCTCTCCAAGCAGTAAAATCTAGACACTCTTTCAAATTCACTGTCTCTTTTCATTATTTTATTAATTATTTCTGCTCTAATTGTTGCAGCAGGGTCAGATGAACTGGATAGCTACATGTATCAGACAGTGGGTCATCATGCCATCGACTTGTATGCAGAAGCAATGGGGCTTCCCCTCTATCGCCGCACCATAAGGGGAAGGAGTGTGGATACAGGACAAGTCTACACCGAATGTGAAGGTGATGAGGTTGAGGACCTTTATGAACTTCTAAAACTTATTAAGGTATGCACAGAGTGACTGATTACGTTTAACTGAATTTACTGGGTGATTTAGTAAATTACATGTATCGCAGTCGTTTAGTAAAAAGTGACTTACTGTCAGTAGTAGCTCAACCGTTTCTTGAAGGTCAATATTTTATATTTTAGGATAGAAAAAAAATCAGGTTACCATGCAATATTAAATTAATTTTATTAAATTAAATATTAAATGGTATTTAAAAATAAAATATTGCGTATGTTTTGGCACCCAGGATTGTCAAATGATAGTTAACTAAGTCTTTTACATAGAATTGTGGGACTAATCAATTTTAAGCTCTAATCAATTTTAACACATGCTTTTTGTAGGCCTGTGAGTATGGTTAACATTTAGTTCTAGACAATGGATTTAGAGCACTAAACAGATTTTATAAAAATTTTATTCTACTGGGACTCACTTACCAGTGCCAGGAGATAGAAAGTAAACAAAGAACTAAATACTGTGCCTTGTGGTGGAGAATACAATGAAACAGAGAGGGCTGAGTTCAGGTGATGTTGAAGTCTGATGAGTTAGGATTGGCTCTTTGCAAGATGGTCTAGCCAGCCCTTTGCTTGGTGGTCTAGTCTGCCCTTTGCAAGTTTGGAATTTGTATTGACTGACAGAAAGTGAAAGACTGAATTTTGCTTATCAATTGAAAGAAGCATGAATTAAATACTTTGTCTCTATGTATAAGCAACCACTGTGATTTCATTGCTAATATCTCTAGACCAAACTTAAGAAAGTTGTAACAGGATTATCTAGTAAGTTCTATACCAGTAATTGGTCATTCAGGATATTATTTTAAGCGCTTAGTTTTTTATTCTCATTGATAGCCAACTCTATGATTACAGTCCAAATATCTAAATGTGTGTTTTGTTTTGTTTTGTTTGAAATTTTACTTTAGGCACTTTGGTTTATAGTACTGTTTATGATAGGGTTTTCATACATGACATTCCAGCATACACCATCCATCAGAGTGCCCACTTACTTCTACCATTGTCCCAGTGTACCCAAGCCCACCACAGTAAGTTTCCTACTGAAGACAAGTTCTCTGTTTCTCTTGCCTTTGGACATTGTCCTTTCCTTACATAAAGATATAAAGAAAAATCTTTATATCAACATTTGGAGATCATTCTGTATCAGTCTCTATCCTTCTAACTTCACTCAGCATGAGAAAATATGAATTTTATCTAGTCAGTTTTAGGCAATTTGTGTAAGGAAATTTTAGGCAGTTTTCTTGGATATCAGTAATTTTTCAGAAAGGAAAAGAAAATTTCTTCACTTTTCTCTACTAAAGAACTTTGCGTTTCAATATTTTATTCTTTAGAGGAGTTCAGTCTTTACAGTTATGTAATGCGTCCTTATGAAAAGTTGCCATTCAAATAGCTGCTTCAGGCGCTAGAGTACAATGGGGAAGGTGCTTGCCTAGCATGTGGCCAACACAGGTTTGACCCCAGCATCCCACATCGTCCTCTGAACCTGCAAGGAGTAAATCCCTGAGTGCAGAATTAGCCAGGAGTAATTCCTGAGCACAGCCAGGTGTCCCTCTCAACCCCGCCACCTCTGCAAAAAAAAGAAAAAAAAGGCTACTTTAGTGCTGAGCCTTACATTTGATGCTGATCTGTGCTTAATATCAGTGAATAATTTTGATTTTAAAAACTGAAAGGACTTCTATTCTTTTAAACTTTAAAAGTCCAGAGATGTAGCTCAGTAGTAGAATACTGCTTTACATGTATGGGCACTGGGCTGGATCCTTGATGTTTTCCACACATAAAGTTAGTTTGCCTAATTAAAAGCTTATTTTCTATGTTGAAAATTTTCATTTTTATTTACCTTTTAATAAATAAATTTATAGAGGAAATACTTAGAATAATTCTATAACTTACTCTTTAATCATGTATACCATAAGAAGTAGATGATTTCCTTTCCTTTTGGGGGCAAAAGGGAGTTCCAGGAATTGAACACAAGTTGTCACATAATTCAAGAAGGTTGATGTCTTGCCACTGAATGACACCCCAGTTCTGTAGATATTTTTCAAAGGAAAATACAGAAAAAACCTGGTTTCTTCCTTCTTAGAAGACATCTACTGATAACTATTTTGACTGTCAAAGGAGAAAGTATAAAAGAGTTCTGTTTATAATGGTCTTCCCACACTGATCAACCAAGATCTTATTAGTGCTCACTTTTGAGTGAGAATTTGCATTTTCAATTTCTTTTTTAGAGTACAAATAAGTTGGATTTTTACCATTAGCTAATGTTATTAAGTGGTGGGATTGACACAAGAAATAATTGTGTCATTAAATAGTGGATAACTGATAACTTTGGAGAAGTTTTGTGGTAATAGCCTTCAAGAAAGTGAGTGATAATAAATTAATCAATTTAATTTAAAATGAGCAGATTAGTAGTACTTAAGAAAATTTTTTATTTAGGTCTATGTTCTCTTTGGAGAAGAGGATGCTTTGCCTTTATCTTTATAGTAACTATCAGTTTGAAATAAGTTAATACTAATGTTAAATCTTGACAACTTTGCTTTGGAAGTTCATACATGATGATTTTAACTATAGTCAAAAGAGGTGTTATCAGATTGTCTAAGACTACATAGTTCTTTTTTCTATGTAGAAATACTAATTTACTATTGGATATTTTAAGGATATATATATATATATGTTTCAAAAACATTGCTTTCATGAAAAACATTTTATAGTCTTTTTTTATAGTTAAATCCACTTATGAAACATTGGTGCTAAGATTTCAATAGACATCTTATATATTCTAATGAATAATTAATTATGGAAAAAAATGAGAATTGTTATCACTCTTCAAGTTAGTTTTGTTCTGAGAAGATGATGAACTATTTTTTCTGATTATTTTAATGTGAATGAAGTGCTGAAATCATTTGGATTGATTTTCATTTTCAGTGAATTTTTGACAGGTTACAGTTTTGTGCCTTTTATATGTAAGTCAGTCTTCTGTTTTTATCACCCCCCATCCCCTAATATTAGAGCTGACTTTTGCATAGGAATGCTTCTTTTTGCAAAGAATTTAGTTACTATAATTGAAAAGAAGTAGGAAAAATTTGGAAGAATTTTAATACCTAAAACTTTGCTAACTTGTAAAGTTAATGAAAACTGGTAGAAATGTAAAAAAATTTTTATATTGCTCATGATTACCAGGTGATTGCAGAAGATACTTGTCTAAGTATAATGCAAAACCAAATATATATATATATATATATCACACATATAATTTGAATTCCCTAAGTTTAGTATTAAAGTAGTTTCAAATCATTTCTCTAGCTATTTATCGATGTCTGTTACCTGGTTTTCAATTAAGTGTTTGCCAACTACCTGGTTTTCATATAACCAGAATTTCTCTTATTTTTTAGAATTCCTTGGTATTAATATGTCACTTTGGGGGCTGGCAGATAGCTTCAGTGGTAAAGTACACAGCAAGTTATAAGCAAAGTGGAATCTGTTTCCTGGAGCCCCCACACCCCCTAGATATTCCCAAGCGTCCTGAAAATTGTCCTGGTTCCCAAGAGCCATGGGATGTGGTCTCTATGGAAAAAAAAGTCACTTTGGGGGCCAGAGCAGTTGTACAGCAGGTAGGGCATTTGCCTTGCACAAGACCAACTTGGAGGGCTGGAGCAATAGAACAGCGGGTAGGGCATTTGCCTTGCATAAGGCAGACCTGGGTTCGATTCCCAGCATTCCATATGGTCCCCTGAGTAGCCAACTGCCAGGAGTAATTTCTGAGTACATGAGCCAGGAGTAACCCCTGTGCATTGCTGGGTGTGACCCAAAAAGCAAATAAATAAATAAATAAAAAGACCAACCTGGGTTTAATCCCCCGTGACCCATGTGATCCCCAAGCACTGCCAGGAGTAATTCTTGAGAGCAAAGATACCAGTAAGTACTGAGCACAACTAATGAGCGTTCCCCCCCCCCCAACAAACAAACGAACAAACAAACAAAAAGTTACTTTGGGGGCTGGAGCCATAGTACAGGGGGTAGGGTGTTTGCCTTGCACATGGCCAACCCAGGTTCGATTTCCAGCATCCCATATGGTCCCCTGAGCACCGCCAGGAGTGATTCCTGAGTGCAGAGACTGGAGTAACCCCTAAGCATCACCGGGTGTGACCCAAAAAGCAAAAAAAAAAAAAAGTTAATTCCTCCGCCCCTCTCGGAGAGCCCGGCAAGCTACCGAGAGTATTCGATATGCCAGGCACAGTAACAACAAAGTCTCCAATGGAGACGTTACTGGGCCCGCTCGAGCAATTTGGTTCTAATCTGAATTAATTAGGGCTAGATAACCTGATTATTTCATGAAAATTCTTTTTCCATATGTATTTTCTTTTAAAGTCAGATAAGTAATATCATAGTTATTAGAGCATAAATGTAAATTCCTGATTTCTACAGACAGTGTATTTAAGGATCAGCATATTTTTTCTATATGGTACTGGAGAAACTCCTTACTGAATTTGCTATGATCTTTCTTGGTTTTATTTCTTCATTTCGGAACAGCTCACCTTCAGGAAATTTTCTTAGGGAAGGTACTTGCAGATTCTTACATTTTGAAAATTTTCCTAGTCTACTCACATTTGATGGGCTGGAGCGATAGCACAGCAGTAGGATGTTTGCCTTGCCCGCAGCCAGCCTGGCCGAGCTGGGTTCGATTCCTCCGCCCCTCTGGGAGAGCCCGGCAAACTACCGAGAGTATCTCGCCCTCATGGCAAAGCCTGGCAAGCTACCCATGATGTATTTGATATGCCAAACACATTGACAAGAAGTCTCAAAAAAAAATGGAGACATTACTGGGCCGGCTCGAGCAAATTGATGAACTCACATTTGATATAATAATGGGATTAAAATTTTTAAATTGAGGAGCTGGAGTACTAAGTCAAAGAGCTAGAACACTCACATATAGGGGGCCCAGGTTCAATCTTCAGCACCTGGGTTCCCTGAGTATCATTTGGAGCCAGCTTGGCA